GTGATGCTGCTAAGCAAACCTGCACTAAAAGCCAGATAATTTAAGTTAGAGGAAGGTAACACTGCAGTATTTTACAGAATAGCAGTAAATTCATTTTAGACATTCTATGTACAATAAAACTGTCCCTGAATTCAATGAGGTGAAAAAAGGACCAGGCTATTACTGGACGTTTTACAGTATGCATTATTGCAGCATCTATTCGTAATCTCAAAGCTAAAGATCCCTCCCTCCCTCTCTCTATCTCTCTCTCTTTGTTTCTCTCCTCCTGTGTGTGGCTGACTGACAGGAGGCCAAGCATAAGCCGAACCACTCATTCCAGCTACAGTCAGCTACAGCAGGACAGAGAGGGACTGAACGAGGAGAGAGAGAGAGAGAGAGAGAGAGAGAGAGAGAGAGAGAGAGAGAGAGAGTTGAGGTATGCAGCACTAGATACAGCATCAGTGACAGGAGCATGTTTGGGCATCAGATAAAGCTATTTTAGGAAGAAACTGTCAATGAATCTCAAAAGACATGCCAACAGCAATGATCAGAGAAGACCTACATTACACTTCAGACTGCCTGGGATGTAAGATAGGACTGGTTTGTACTTTCTAACAGGGGAGTGTGAGCAGTCCACGCACTGAAGTTATTTTCACACAGTAAAACAGAGAGCGAGTAGTGAGGGAAAGCAGTGAAGGCCAGTCGAGCTTGATGGAGACATACTGTACTTGGGGTTTTAGTTGTTCAGGACAGAACAAAGGTTGGTTAGCAATTACTCAGCTCCTGCAGCCTTGGTTAAAATATTTCAACTCCATCTCTTTGCTGAAAGCTGCACATCACATCTGATTTTTGGGATGCATCGACTGCCGTGGACAGAGGCGTGGGTTGGGGGATGAGGTGGGGAAGGAGGAGAGGTCATTGGAGTAGCTATGGCAGACTCAATGACATAAACAGTAAGAGGGAACCTGGCCACTCTCACCATTTAATCAACACTGGCTCTGCTTTTGGAAGACGGAAAATAGCTTTGCTATCTTTTATCGGGCAAAAAAGATTTACTGTCTCGTAATTTCGCTCACAGTGAGGGGTCTGTGCTTCTAACTCTAGCTTGCTGTAAATGTCAGCACTCACTGGCAGAAAGTCTGAATTAAAGCTCAAGACAGTAACAGAATGGCCAGTTGTCAGATATTAGCTTAGCATTTACACTGCATTATTGTCTGTATTACTGTGAACAATACTGATATCATGTGGCCCAGAAATATCAAGAACGGGTCGGTTTACCTCTAAAATTCAGCAAGTCAGTCCGACAGGTGCTGGTAGTAACAACTTCTCTTTTGTTGTCTTTATACGGTTTCATACAAATCCTTGCCGACACTTTTGTAATAAAGTAAAACTGTTAAATGGAAGTGTATTAGTAAAGCTGTGGTGGCGTTTACCAGAATAAACACAGGAAATGGTAATTATGTCTTGAGGGCTAGTGTTATGTATTATCCTCCTTAGGTTTGGCACTCGAGTGTCGCCATAGCACATGCTCACTTGTCTTCAAGGTTTTTATATATATGCCAGAGAGTAGAGTATATACTGTCATAGTGGAATAAAGTCAAGTATGTTTGTTAAGTTCTGCTGTGTTCTTGTACATTAAGGACGTGTACAGCTGCATCTTTTATCTTGCACCATTAATTTCCCAGCATCATACACAAACACTCTCTTTTGGTGGGTTATCAGTGTGTGTGGGAGGGCACAGGTGTACCTCCGCCCAGTGGGCACACACCACAACAACGGTAAGCAACATTCAAATAACATTTTGCTGTTAACAATTTTACCAAAAACGTTAAATGCCTATAAAACAGAACTCCAGCGAGTCTCAGCTTTGAACATGTAGACTCAGCACAACACAAACACAGCTTTTTACCGTATAATACTGAAGGAATAGGTCAGATATTGACAACTGAACCCAAAGGCACTGCTTGAATGTGATCCTGATGACAGAAATTGGTAGGGGTGTGTACAGAAGTGGGCGTTCCAACAGTTTGGCTGTGATTGGCTGGCTGTGTTTAGACTTGGTTTTTGATTGGTTAGGCTCAGGGTGTGTGTCTGCTGACACACCCCTTACCAACCCATCTGTGAGCTGCAGTTACTTCTGTCTCAAATTAAACTCTTCTACAGTGTCCTCTCATGCGAGTCTGTTCACTGGCGAGCAGTTGTACTCGGCTGTTGCTCATTCAGTGGCTTCTCCGACATTAGTGCATCCGCCTAAAGACAAGAGCCAGTGAGTGAGTTACAGCTGAGAGGGAGTCCTGTCCAATAAACAGTTACAAGCATTTTACACTTCGAGATCATTTTGCAATACTTTACTGACAATTATGTGTTTGAGATATACTAAACACACAAGTAAACACATGAAGCTGTATTTATGCTGCACAGAGAGTTGTAATGTTTGGATGTTAATACTATAAACCAGGTCCCTACTCAACTGCACCACAGCAGAACTGAGTACAAACATTTTCATAAAGCTTCCGAGACTACTAGGCACAATAAATAAAAAATAAAAAAGATGCATATTTGGGTGAAGTGTTCCTTTAATGTCATGACTATTTCTGGACATGGATTTCAGTCACAGACACTGGTGTTAATATAGTGCTGTGTATATGTCAGATGCTACAGGTTGCCACATTACATCTACTTTACTATATAGTGCCAACACAAACTCTGAAGTGTCTAATTAGGTTGTGTTTCTCCCTGCATCTCTAGCTTTTGGTGTGTGTTTCTCTATGTATGAGTGTGTGTGTGTGTGTGTGTGTGTGTGTGTGTGTGTGTGTGTGTGTGTGTGTGTCAGTGGGGACTTTAACCTGAATGCACACTAACCCATGGGGACTCGTGTCACAGTGGGGACGAAAATTGAGTTCCCCAAAGACAGAGACTGTTTTTTGAGGGTTAAGACTTGGATTTGGGGTTAGGGTTAGGTTATGGGTGGGGTTAGGTTTAGGGTTAGTTGTAATGGTTAAGATCAGGGTAAGGGGCTGGGGAATGCATTATGTCAAGGAGAGTACCCACACGTACAGTGGAAGAGGTCTGTGTGTGTGTGTTGTGAATCACATTGGAAGTGGGTATCTCTTCCACTGAGCTTATCCCTGCCTGTAAAACGTGTTTTAAACTGTAGCCTGATTGCAACAGCACTGTCATAAATAAATGACTTGATAATTTTAGCATGTCACAGAGGTAAAAATAGAACACCACATTGTTAGCTCAAATGCCGGATGAGCCCTTTGTTAAGGCGTCCGAGTTACTTCCTATCAGGATCTGACGCTTTCTTGACACTGTTGGCTTGCATGGAAATTATGTTGATTCTGGATTTGAAAAACTTAAAATTGGAAAATGACCTTTGGTATTTTATTATCACTTTGTTTCAAAGGTTTTTGTCCTGACATTTACATAACACACATGATGAACCCCAAAAGGTTTTACTGTGTTGCTCTAATAGTTAATATATGAGAAATGTGTCACATTACCACAGTTAAGATCTCATTCCTCTGTTTGTGGAGCTCTGGAAACTGGTACTTCCTGTCTGTGTACTTCTCCACTCAGGTTTACTACAGGACAAGCAGGCGCTTTAACACAGCAGTAAATGCTACAAATTGTAGTTACATCATCTCAAAAGCAGTGGAGCACTTTAAATGCTGAAGATACAGGTGGAGTGGATCAGTGAGATAATTTCTCATAAAGTCAGTGTTGTCTTTTAGGGAATATAGTTAAAAGTAAAAAGACCTTTGCAACTAACAGATTAAATAATATACAATATGCATAAATCACACTGCCTAAGAACCTGGTTCATATATTAGTTGAGCTGAGGAGCTGACCCTAATTCTGAAAGACCTTTGTGAAGAAAGGGGGTCAAGTCTTTTTTTCTCTGAGAGAAATGAAGGAAGAAATCTGAGAAAGAAGAGAGAAAATGGGCACAAACCTAATTTGAAGACTGTAGTCCCACATTTCTTTCTTGTCTCACGTTCAGATTGTTGCATTTATAAAAGCTATTCTGGTGACAATCTTGAACAAAGTTTTTCACAGGCCTGTACAGCTGCTGAACATAGTTTTAGCCATATCTCGCAGAAGTGTGTAATTTTTTAGACTTTGTTGTTTGGTGTACTGCAAGAACAAAAGAACAGTTTCACATATCTATGGTGGAAACTGGCAACAAGTTGAGAGATTTGAACTGTTACCACCACCCACGGACTGTCACTGCAGTCAACACTGGCACCGTCAAGATTTTGCCACAATTTCTGATATAAAGCAGCAGCAGATCTGACATCTAATACTGGCTGTAGGCAACAATACAGAGTTTGGAAAGGAGGTTACCTCAAGACAAGGTTGCCTGTCCCCATCACATGCTTGGACTAACTCTCTCTCACACACACACACACACACACACACACACACACACACACACACACACACACACACACACACACACACACACACACACACACAGAGGAGCAACTGCCTTTAGCTTTGCTTGTGTGTTCCACCTTAAGACTCCACATGCAGGATACTTCACTGTAATGATGTGATGATGCAGATCTCGCTGGAATCCAGGATACACCGAAGTTTCAGTATCCACTGCTCACCAGTGCTGGTCTATCCATCAGGAGGAGCCTGCTGTTTGGAGCTTAACCTTAAGTTTAACTTAGATTTGACTGAGATGTTTAACTATCTCACGCGCGCGCGCACGCACGCACACACACACACACACACACACACACACACACACACACACACACACACACACACACACATCGATTCAGAAGACATGTAGCCTACACACACTTCTCCCTTCATTATAGGTGACCGGGTTATGGAGGACTGAAGTGTCAATCGGCTCGCATGCATGGACACACTGTATAGACTACACACGTGCACGCGCAGCCAGAGAGCGGTGACTGTCTCCTTACATCACCATGGCAGCTTCAGTGGCCCTTATAGTGCGCTGTGAGTGTATGGCAGGTATAACGGAAAAGCCTTAAACTTACCGCAGTCCTCGCACAACACTCTCTCCACATCCTTCTTCAGCTCCGGCTCGCTGGCGTCCACAGGGGCGTACGATGCCTTGAATACCAAGGGCTCAGCGGTCGGGTCCATGAAAAAGATATATCTGTGGTCCTTCTCCACCGTGGTGCACGGGGCCTCGGAACCGAAGTCCCCGACGGTCACGAGCTGCTCCCTCTCGAGGCCGCCGCTGTTGACGGGCCACACGTCCAGCACTTTGACATTCACACTGTAGGGCTCCCGGGAGGAGACGTTCTCCGGGGAGGAGCGCACCTCGCCCTCGATGACCACGGCTGATCGGTACGCCTGGTCCTGGAGGGAGTTGAGACTCGGGGCGTAACAGGCGAAGGAGACCCCGATGACCAGCATGGAGAAATGCACTGGATCAAGCCTCATGCCGTCAGCCTGTGCTGTGCTGCAGTGCTGCTGGGCGGCGGAGCGAGCTGGAAGAGAGAGACGGCGGCGAACGGGCTCCGGCAGAGCAGGCAGGGCAGAGCGGCAGACCTTGTGGAAGTGTCCATGCCATCTGTGTCTGCCGCTGCTTTCCCCATACGGCTGCTGGCCTCGGATGGGGGGACACACCAGCCTAGGAACCGGAAACGGCCCGCTTCTGCATGCTTAAAAATGTGATTGCTGCATTCTCCTTCACCAACCACCCTCCCCCTCTTATCTCCCCTTTTCCTGAAAGGCAAAACAAGACTCGTAAATTAGCCTCCTCTCGAATCCAAGGCTGAAACCTCTCTCTCTCTCTCTCTCTCTCTCTCTCTCTCTCTCTCTCTCTCACTCTCTCTCTCTCGCTCTCTCTCTCCAGCTAATAGGCTAGCATCGCATGGGTGGGCGCATTGCCTCTCTGGAAGGAAAAAAGAAGCTTGCGCGTACAGGGGAATCACAAGAAACGATACGCACTCCACGCACACGCACACGCAAGGTCGGCTCCTTTATCCACTTCTTTCGATCGTCAAAAGAGTCCCACTCCTGCAAATCCGTTAGTCGGTGAGCAAAATAAAAAAGAGAAGAGAAAACCAGGGAGGAACAGACGGACAGGATGAGATAGCAGCGGTTATCCGGTGAGTCGATGCAACAGTAGCGCGCACCCTCCAGCCGCGTCCCCTGCGCCCCTCATCAAACGCGAGCGACTTACGTGAGCAAACATCACCTGCCCGGTCACTGGCGTCGGCTCGCCACGTCCTGCGCAAACACCCTAATGACCCGGGCACCCACCGGCACACCGCCACCGACCCAACCGGCATGTGACCATGCCGGTCGACTGTGTTAAACCTCTGCGGGTGGGTGCAAGAGGAATCACGCACGCAGTGCACAGACACTCAGCACAGAGTGCGTCTGTAGCCAAGCCCTGCACGGCGCCCACTGTGGATCTCCAGTGCAAGAGGTGCAAGAGAGGCTATAGGCGACTACTACACACACTGCGGATAGTTGTTGCGATGACTAACGCTGCGAAATTCTCTCAATGGATTCCTCAGCGTGGCGAGGCGAGCTGGGAGTTTCGAGACTTCAGCTTTAAATGCCCTCAGACATATATCCGCTCGCTGCATGCTACAGGAGAGCACACCCCAAACCTGACATTTTCCACACTATTATGCGAGTTATTGCAGTTCCCTAATATTGCCTGGGGATACTGTACAGTTTAACGACTCTACGGCAACACGTGGAAGCATCAGTTACCCTAATCTGCTGGTGCAATAGTGGAAAGACATTCTACCCCAATATTTTGCCAATCCTGCACAGCTACAGCTAATAATCCCACTTTTTTTTACTGAATACATCTCCACCAATGAAACGAGAGCTTTGCACAATATGCTCAGGCTTTTTATGGTGACCACAAGTATCCCCTCCTCCTTCCACCAGCAAACCAGTCCCTGCCTCCATCTCTGTATCCATCAATCAAGCCATTCATAAGATTCGCCTTTCCCTCCCTGTCAGGAGCTGTGCGCCCTTCGCTAGAGGTCGAAAGCATTTCATTGTCCATCCTGAGAAAGGGATAAAATATAATGTCATATAGGGGACGTGTGGAGAGGAGCTTTTACTATAGATGACTGAGATGATAAAGAAAATGCATCACAGTATGCACCTACATCATGGCCTCATCCACCCGTTTCCCCATCAGCAGCATCTCATCAGGGACCAGTCTCTGTCCATGGTGCTGAAAGGCTTGACAGGTTTAGTGCTCTGACCCAACAGGCCAATCACATGATATGTCATACTGACTGAAGGCCACAAACAAACTGCTGCAATGAAGGTCTGTCTTTTCACTGCATCTATCCTTCTTCACTGTCATGTTCACCTAAGATCCAAAGAGGAAACCTCTTTTACTTAGATGTAAAAGTACAGTTTCAGTCCTCTGCTACATCAATATATACATACATGATGTGTTTTCTATGTTACATGTTGACAGTTCCACATTACTGGAGTCGCCTCTCCAGGTTGGGGATCACCACAGCATATTATGAGGCAAACAACGCTCTTCAGAAACTGTGATCCGTCCATGCAGTGACCCACCCCCACCTTTTTCCCTCTCCGCCCGCTGCCCACCCATTCACCGATCCGTCTCTCCTTCATTCATTCAACAATTCATGCATTCATTAGAGCCCCTATTCAAAGACCTTGCACACAATTTAGGAATTTCCAAATTAGCCTTGAAAGCAAATCATTTGTTGACAAAGCTAAGGGGAGTAAAAACCGATTCCTGCTGACTGACCCAGGGAGGACTGCCACTTATTGCCTCCATGACTTCCCTAGCACTCACACTGAGCCTGTGGGAATTAACATAGGGGCTGTTTTTGATATTGCACCTGCATTTCAGCAGCTGGGCTGATGAGGTCACTTAGATTGGTCATTCAATGTCAAGGTATGTTCTCCTTCTGTGATGTTAAAATATACTTGTGTCAGTGACACAGCAGCCCCAGTACTTGCCACAGATTTCTTCTTTGCAGTCCTCTTTCCTCTCATTTACATCACCAGCAATACTCATGGACGAAATCAAATCCCATCTGTTTTCATGTCCACCCTCCGCTGTCCGTGGTTCTGAGAAGAGACACCAGTGACTTATCTGCTCAAACCTCAATGGAAATGACTTGGGTTATGCTAAAAAGATCAAAGCCCACCTTTCTATTCCAGGTTAACACACCTTCTCTTGCCAGCTCTTCAGTGGGGCTTGGGGTTTAGTTAATGTTAGAACATTTAATTATAAGCATATGTGATGCTTGTGAGTTTTAAAAGAATTCTGTTTCCTGTGACAAACAAGATACAGACAAGTGTACGATTAGAGCATATAATGCAAGCCCTCCAATCCCATTAAACCTATATCCAATCAACATCCATCAAGTCTCCCACATCATTCTTCTACTTGAGGTCTGCTCCTCCTCTCCGATCTATGAAGTCAGCTGCTAAAAAACCTTGTTTTGTTTCACCTATGTAAAAGCACTTTTCACAGCAGAAAACAGTTAAATTTCTAACTTTGTTGTTAAAATCTTTTAACAAGATGCTCAGATGATGGAAAGAATTATATCGTAATCAAAATGGGCCTGCAAATAACATTATTTAATTATCAGTTAATCTATCGACTATTTTCCATGTTAATCGACTAAATATCAGAAATTAATTAAAAATGTGCAGTTTTCCCAGAGTCCAGGTCCGGGTGATGTTTTTGGATGTTTTTAATTAAAAAAAAAATCACATTTGAGAAGGTGTACCTGGCAAAAGTTTAGCTTTTTCATGAAAATATAAAAAATGAATAAATAAATAATAATAAGAATAAATAAATAAATTATCAAAATGGTTGCCAGTTAACTTCCCGTCAGTCAACTAATTTATAAACTGAAAAGACTGAGGAGACATATTAAATCAACGTCACAGACACTACAAATTGTTTAATTACATAATAAATTAAAATGTTATTCTAGAATTTCTTAACCCAATCTTCTTATCTTAATCTTAACCAAAAGATTCACTCAGATTTATTTGAATAACCACAGTTTCTTTTGACAGGTTGTCCAGGATGGGAGTTTTTTTTTAATCTTTATTAGCTACTTGGCTTCTTGCTACTGTCCCCAAACCCCTTCAAGACCATCAATAGCTTCTCATTGAGAAACAGTGACACACAAGCATGTCCAATCACAGGGTAATAATTCATGATGCTTCACAGTGTATTGGCCCCCTCCCTCAGCCTCCCACACATCATCTACTGTTCATTCAGAAATGTCTCTTTCTCCCTGCTCTCTGTCTCCTTCCACAGGGACTGTCCAGGTTTGCTGTCCATGGTGCTGAAAAACCCCAAACCAATAGCAATCAGGTATGACTTAGTTCCCGTTCTGCCCTTTTATTGGTTTTGAGATAGTGTGCAAACAGGTGTGATGTTTACTTTGATGTCTATCTATCTATCTATCTATCTATCTATCTATCTATCTATCTATCTATCTACGTTGACTGTTGATGTTAGTACTGCAGTGTTTTGGGCTCACATGGGTGGGGGTTAACTTTCAATTGCAATATACTGCTATACCAGAGGCTGAAGTGAAAATTCTGTCAAACGTTGCAAAAACATCGCGAGCGTCTTGAACGCAGCCTGCTCGGAGTACTACAGTAACACTAACTACAGTTACTTTCATTTTTTCATCCTCCTCTCCTCTCGCGATAGAGCGGCGGAGTGGTTTGACGGGCAGTCGAGGTTGCAGCAGGCAGAGGGAGACGGTGGAAGGTAAAGCAGGGAGGCAGTATCATGGCGGACAGAGACAGTGGCAGTGACCACGGAGGGCCCACCGCAGGCCCCGGCTCGCTGCCCCCGGGTGCGATGGGGGCCATGTCCCGGCTGCAGCATGACACCGAAGAGCTCGCTTCCAAGCGCGTCGACATCCAGAACAAGCGCTTCTACCTTGACGTGAAGCAGAATGTTAAAGGCCGCTTCCTAAAGATAGCCGAGGTCGGGGCTGGGGGAAACAAGAGCCGCCTCACTCTCTCCATGTCGGTTGCCGTGGAGTTCCGCGATTATCTCGGGGACTTTATCGAACATTACGCCCAGCTGGGCCCGACCAACCCGGACATGGTGCAGGATGAGCCCCGGCGGGCGCTCAAGAGCGAATTCCTGGTTCGGGAGAATCGGAAATATTACATGGATCTGAAAGAGAACCAGAGGGGGCGGTTCCTGAGGATCCGACAGACCGTTAATCGGGGGCCCGGATTGGGAAGCGCGCAAGGCCAGACCATCGCTCTGCCGGCGCAGGGTCTCATCGAGTTCCGCGACGCTTTGGCCAAACTCATCGACGACTACGGTGTGGATGAGGAGCCGGCGGAGCTCCCGGAGGGCACCTCGCTCACGGTCGACAACAAGCGTTTCTTCTTTGACGTGGGCTCCAATAAGTACGGGGTCTTCATGCGGGTCAGCGAGGTGAAGCCCACGTACCGGAACTCCATTACGGTTCCGTGCAAAGTGTGGTCCAAATTCGGCAACACCTTCTGTAAATACGCGGAGGAGATGAGGAAGATCCAGGAGAGGAGTAGAGAGAAACGGGCCTCCGAACTGCTACCTGAGGGCCCGCACGGCGGAGATGACGGCGACGATGACTGACGCGGATTTTGGGAGAGCATAAATGAAACAACTGAACTATGAGAGAAAACGAGACTTTTAACTGTAAAATAGAAAGAGAATTTCCAAGGGAATCACCCCACACACACAACCTCCACAGACATGGCAGCACCTCTGCTGTCTCCTCGCTCATTTTACTGGATGTCACCCCACTTACCACCATTGTAACAGTAAGCCGCTGCTATCAAGGATTGAACTGTAAGATATGAACTGTTTCCTACTTGATTTAAATGACAATGAACAGAGTGTTTATATCTCTATCAACGAAAGATTTTGCACACATCAAAGCTATTTCGAAAAAAAATGTTTAAATGTTTTCAAACTGGTAATATACTAAAATTTAATCAAAAATAAAACCAGAGGTCTATTATATTAAATGACAGTCTTCATGTAGAACGAATATTTGACATCAGCACAAAGAGAATATATTATGGACTTTATGAAACCAAAATCTGATACCAGATGTATAGTTTATTATAAAGGTACGCAGAATAAATATGAAAGCGCTCTCAAAGTGTATGAATTGCAGAACGCGGCACTACAGGCCTGTAAACACCTGTCAGCATGCGTGTAGGCTCATGTTTTGAAAAGAAATTTGACAAAGTAGGCTATAGTCTTTAATTTGACCTAAAACGTAATAGGCTAATGAAAGCATTTCTATCATGCCATTATGGAAAGGTTGAGACTCAAAAATAAATAGCCTATTTTGTGCGCCTCAAACAAATGGGATAAATCTATCTCTGAGCTACTATATTGAATATCAACCCTCTTGCACCATGTCCATATAAACTTAAAGGAAAAAAAAGTGCTAACTTAGATGTACTAATTATGATTTTGTGAATCAGCTGTAAAAAAAAATCCTTATTAAGATACCCACGTTTTCTGTGGGTAAAGTTTTTTCTTTGTTACTTGTTGTTTTTTCCTCTGGGGGGGTGGGGGATGCAAAAGGATAAGGCTCACTTGTGGGCTTGCAAGGCGCGGAAACAAAAAAAAAAACAACAAAAAAATAAAACAACAAAAAAAGACGCGTCAGCGCAGCGCGCGGCGAGGCAACGCATCCTCTCTGACGTCATTACGACCCGTGCCTTATACACTCCACTCGTTTACGTGTCCTCACGTGGATGGTCTGTGACCTCGACCGCTGTACGTTTTCATTTACGAGTGCTGTTATGTAGGCAGAAATATACTCACCAGAGCTGCAGGATTTACACCCCTGCAGTGCATGGAGCATGGGTGGCAACACCAAAAGTAAGCTGAAAGGCCACTGGGAGCCTGGGGGCCAACAGTGGTAGTGGGCAGAAACATAGCTCCAAGTTGGAGCTGGCCCTTCAGAGAGATGAGGTGCTGCCGTATGTACACTTTGGAAACAGGTGGGGGCCTCAGTGTGTTATGGCACCCTGGAGCCCAGAATCCCTAGGAGCACACCTGGCTGGGTGGCCTCTCACAGAGTAGAGATGTGTCTCCCTGGATCAGGAAGCGACCTAGGATGTACCGCCTGTGGCAGCACTTGGTGTCAGCATGGAGATTCATCTGGAGATGTTATGGGTGGATTTGCACACCATATGCACCATGATGTTAAAAAAAACAGCGACAACAAAAAACAAAATCAGGAGCGGCTGGATGAGGCTATTCGTCAGAGCTGAGATGGATGCTGTTAAAGAGCCAGGCAGTCAGCCAGCCAGGCAGGCCAGCCGGCCGGTCCCATGCAGTCAGTCTGAGTGCAGTCCAGTGGATGTAGAGGCCTATCAGTGCAGGGCCGAGGCAGTATCTATCTCTTTATGGTGCTACAGCCCCTTGTTCGCTCCTTGGGGGCCTCGCCGCTCAGAATATGTCACTTTTGCATTATTGTTATTCTGATGCTTTTTTTTTTCGTCAGTTTTTTCTCCACATTATGTTGTCCAAAACGTGTCAGGTTTCTCGCTCCCAGGCAGAGAGGAAGCCACTGACTAGTGTAGGACATTTCATCTTAGTGTGCAATATTGTGTACGTGCCAATCGTGGCATTGTATCACGTGTATAGACTATAAAAAGACGAAAAAATGTATAGGCTATGTGATCAGTAGATATTTGAAAGCATGACGATGAGGTTGATGCATCTGCATTATATTTCCGAAATGTGAAGTCTTTCTTCTCAAGCACTTGCTCAAAGTGAAAAAAAAAGTCACACCAGTAGTGAGGTATTTTTCCTGTCACGTTCTGTAAACCAGTAGGCTGCCTTGTCTGTCTCTCAGTGCGCATAGACTAGTTCGGGTGTTTTACGTCCCCCTATGGAGTCACCCCAGAGAAAACCCTTTCCCCCCTCCTTCCTACCCCAGCACACACATGCAACACAGACAGTCAGCAACCTTTAACTGTCTCCGTGTCGGCCCCTCTGCACTGGCCTACACTGAAGTTGAATAGTATCTTGGGGCTTCGGTCCAGGGGTGTCTGACACACACACACACACACACACACACACACACACACACACACACACACACACACACACACACACACACACACATACACACACAAAAACAAACAAACAAACACACACAAATACACACACACACACACACACACACACACACACACACACACACACACACACAGACAGTCTCCCCCTGTTGAGGCCTCTTGTTGCTATCTGAGTGTTTGGGAGGCCTCTAAAGTATTTTGAATGGTGTCTAGAACTGCACAAGGCCTCCTGTCATTAGAAGCCAGGAAACAGTTTTTTTGGAGCCGTAGTGCGACCCCTTCTCTCGCCTGGGACTGCTGATGGCAGGACAGGTGAGCTACGATTTGACTTTGGCTTGTCTATGGTTTCACTTGAGCTAGGTGATAATGATCAGCCGCAGCAGACCCAAAGGACAGAGGAGTTTGTTGTTGTTTTTACAATGAGGATTAGAATCCCTCTCTCTGGATTCAGTGTGTAAGAAAGGCCCTGGCTCACTGTCCACGGAGCAGAACTAGTCCGAATGCCTCTTTCAGACACACAGTCCATTCCTTCTTTTTGACCTGATTGACCTCTAGGCTTACATTGAAGCATTAGTTAACAATCAATATGCTTCAAGTGGTTAGTTCACCTATCAGCTTTATTTAAAGCAGGTTGGCCTAAGACAGCTAATATGACTGAGCCTGGTCAGAGGCCCAGCCAGTGTGGCGTGCCACCTAGCTGGCATGAAGGGAAACACAGACTGCATGGATTGCAGCTTTAGAGGCCTCAGCTGGATAAAAGCTGTTAATGTGGTTATAGCCTGGGTCTCACAGACATTTAGGATAACTGAGGCTAGGCTAAAACAGAATTCCCCAAAGCACATCTGGGCTGAAAAGGTATCAGAAGTCTTATGAATTCTTGCTTTAAAAAGTTTATCTGTGTTTGATTGGTTATGCCCGTGGAAACAGAGCCAAGAAAAATGTTCCAGAAAATCCCATCTGCTCTACGCAGGACTTTTTAGCACAGGTTTGTCTCTGAGTGTTGGTGAAAGGCCTGATGAAGCCTGGCACTGCACTGTAGGGGCTTACCAGCAGCGTTCTACCACGACCTACTGACCCGGCTGTCAGACAGATCCAGTTAGGACTTTTCTCTCAGTTTTGGAGAAGAACAGGAAATCTCTTTCCCCTCTTGCAGATGATTATATTTCCTCACACTGGGCTGTGAATTATAAAAAGTCAATTTCCATTAAACACACGTACAAGCCACCTATGACTATGTGCCTGGCAAAGCACATCTGAGGTCAATCTGAGTTCATCCTGAGTTCAACATGAGAATGGACTCTGTTGTGGTACAGCAATTATTCCCCAAACTGTTCTAGCTTTAGCTTAATTTAATTTTAGGCCTCCAGGAGGCTCATGCTACATGAAGACTGGAAATACAACACTTCCTTTCTCTCTTTCTTTTTCTCTAATGGCCAAATATAACGAGAGCCTGAACCTGCTCATACAGTTCACTTTGTGATTGCCTCACTCCGTGAAACGCACATTTATTTTTTTTTAAAGAGTTAAAGACGTGTGATCTTGTTTTGTTACAGACTGTAATCGCCAGGTGCTACTGGGTCAGTTGTGTTTTCACTGCAGAATTACTCTGTTGTGAAACATGACACGTCCATTTTGGGTCGTAGCTCTGTCTGAGTTACGGAGGAGGAGGGCACTTGTGGTTTTGCCGAAAACAGTGTAATCAAATCTGATTTCTCAGTTTATGAGAGCTCACCCAGTGTCACAGCAAAACCTGGAGTGACCTTGCAGCCATGTTGTGCCCACATTACACGGTCATCCATTCCTGGGACTCAAATGCAAAATGGTAGGAAGATGTTGTTCGTCTTGCTTTCTGTATGAAGCGTCAGTGGTCTAGCTGTGTGCTGTCCTCAGTGGCTCTGGCTAAGTTCAGTGCACAGGGGTGATTGTGCACTGAGGCTGTTAGCACTGACAAGAGTGATGTTTTGATTTCATATACAGTGGTAGCCATCATAGCAGTCCTAACTCATGATGTTATCCTGCCCTTTGTCTGTTATTACTGCAGTGTTCATTTTGTCAAATCTTATTTAAATTTTTGTTGCTCAAACAACCTGTTGCTCAAGGTGACCGGACCATTCCTTGCAAGTTCTCAAATGATGGAAATAGAAGAGAAATGAAATTGTAGACTAGCTACGAGCTTCTTGTTGTATGTACTAAAAGTCGGATTGCTATGATGGCTCCAGCTGTAGGTGTTTTGTGTGCTTGTTCCTCCCATCTTCAACAGGGAGGTTATTCATGTTTCTGACTGCATTGAAACAGCCACATGTACACGACTTCTAACAGCAATCTTCCACAAACAAAATGAGGGTGGTGGCGACCTGCCTCTACCAAACTGTACAAGTAGTGAAGGAAAACAGACTAAACTTCCATTAAGGTGTTCCAGACAACCAAATCTGCTCCGTTTCTGGTTTCAGTGTTGTAGTCTTTCATTGGCCATTCAGAGTTCCTGGTTAATCACACAGCCAATCGCAGCCTCTGGTCAAAGCCAAGCACTATATGACTCATCACAAACCACTGACAGAGGAGCTCATTCAGCACGTCTTCTGTTTGCACACACACCGAGTAGTAGGGTCCATCATGTTTGCAGACTGTATAGGCTACTGTTGTGTATACTTATAAAGACGTTCTTTCAAATGTTTTGAAGATGTTGGGAAATGGATCCTGGATTTTAAGGGGTGGGGTCAATGCACAATGAACATATCCCATGTCACAGTTTGGTCTAAATCCCTTTACCATCCCCATATGAGATAATATGTTGTATCTTTCAAAAAATATTTTATCTGTGGCGTGTGTGTGTGTATATATATATATATATATGGTTTGTTATATATGATGCTCCTCCTTTCAGAAAAATATAACATGTAAACAGGAAAAACATATTGCTGTTTTTTTTCCTTTGTATTTTATACTTACAGAAAGCATTGAATAAAATGGATAAATACTTGCACTTTAGATATATTAAGAAAAATAAAAATCTGCATATTATTTTTGATAGGGATCTCACATTCAAAGAGTATAAATTACAGGCTTTGTGACTATTGCTGGACAGAGATGTATTGAGTTCTACTTATTGAAGTATATTTTGTCTGTGTGTCAGAAGGTTTACTAAAGTAAATTGCATGATAAAGTAGTGCTACACCGATATTGTTCTTTTTTTTAGTTGGTAAAAATGTCTGAAAACTGTGATAACAACCCTCTTGTATCATGTTTAACCTCTCCTCACCCCTTCTAGAATATTTCTTACTGAAATATGGCCTTTCCAGACTACATGACGATGGTGCTTACTTTGGCTTTGACATCAAGCTCATCCTATACATCTCAACATCATCATAACTCGCGTCCTTACACTTCATTACTTTCTGTTATGTACTCTCACTACCTTATTAAATTTCCGTTGATGGCAAAAAAAGGTGTGCTGTTTTGTACATTGCTGTTTGTTTTAATGTTGGGGGAGCCTTGTTGTCTGAAAAATGACTAATCGCGCAATAAAAAGTCATTCCACATGTCCCTGTCTCTGCACAACTGTCTCAACACTATACAGTCATACAGTTATACAGTCAGCAGGGCTCGGCTCAAAAAGTTAAAATAAACAGTATCTATTGACTGAATATTACATACTGTTACAATAGCCATTCCTACTTAACGGAAACCGATACACCGCACAGGTATATTGACTATTATGTATGAAGCCCATCTATATGAATGAGATTTTAATTGTATTAGCTTATTTAATTTATCACTGCTGTTTGCCTGCAGTCAGTTAAAGTTTTAGAGGATGTTGCTCCTCGTCAGCTGTCCTTGGAAAGCCTCTTTTATGTATTACTTAATGAAAAATGCACAGAAATAACGAATATAACTACAGCCAATGGATACAAAGAGCAGATTTTCTGCAGTCTTCCAGACATCTGCCTCTGACTTCCATGTGGAAATAAAAGAAAGACTGCTGTATTGTTGCCAGTAGGGTAGGGCATGCTGTTGATAGAGCAGTATTGACTATCATCAGCCAGGTGAAGATTTTTCAGTCTGCAGTAGCAACAGGTTAGTGCATCAAAAGCAATAAAAGTGATGGCACCACACATTAAATGATCAGATATTATGAACCACATGTAAGAAGCAGTTTATGTGGCAGGGCAGCGATGTAAGAAACAGTGGGAGATGTGGGAACAAATTCGGCTCAGAATTTTGATTCACAGCTAAAGTGAAATTTTAACCATGATACAATTTTATTTCCTTTTATGAATTAGACATTGCTCAATAATGAACAGACATGTTATGCAGAAATTATTTTCTGAATTTAAAAATAGAAGTTTTAAGGACTGACACATTGGCCAATTTAAATTTAATCCATCAATTAATACACTGGCAATAGCATGGTAGTAATATGCATGACCTTGGAAGCTATATCCTAATGAGTATCTATTTCATTTGTAAAATATCATCACTCCTTTTTGAATTGGGTGGGCTTTTTTGCAGTAAAGTGTGCTATATCAAATTACAGTCTAAGGGGCAACAATGTTGTTATAATGTAGCAGGAGTTATATTAAAAGCTTAAGGAGCATGAGCCATGTTGCTGAATTGTTTAAAAAGCATTAAAAAATGTGAAGACCCCTGTCCAGCCAAGTCTCTCTGTGGTCATGCTGATAATTCTGTGAAACTATCAAGATGGCAAACTAGCTAACACTTAATTTTGGTAACTCAAGTGACTATAATGAAAAGTATATAAGACGGCAGTGACTAAAACACAAAATCCCTTTCAAAACACCTGCTTTTAGACTCAAGCAAATTTGAATTTGAATTAAAATTAAAATTAAAATACAAGTACAGATATGAGTACGGATGCGGATATGACCAACACATGTCATAAAAAAACAATTTTTTTGTGGATGGCACACTTTGAATGAAACCAGGTAGCCAGCTACATTGTATTGTGTATCACATTTAAATAAAAAATTAAATAGCTAGAACAGTAAATGCAAAAAACCTCACAAAAAATTAC